AACACTTATACATGAGTGACCATTAGTTTATGTCCGTAAACTCCCTTGGGCCGTAAACCTATGGTAGTAAACTCATGTGAGTGCCATATACCTTCCTTTGTTGAATCACATGTGATTCCAACACTTGGTCAAAGTGTTTCCTAGTCCCGGAAGGTGTTTCCTTTCATATAGTTGTATATAAACACTATATTCATGCCAATATGTGTCATTATATGTCATTTAGGACTTGTTGTATCTCGGGACTTCATTCATGGAACTTCTCATCCTTACACGCATACCCGTTTGAATCACCCACATCAGGTGAGTTCATAGCCTGTAATGAATCTTTTAACTATTTTAAATACTTTTAAGGGGGAATACAAGTTGAACAAAATGATAATTGTGTAATTATTTGTTATAAACATTGTTCAAAATGTTGTTTATGTCTTCTATAAGTGGTCAAAACATTTCAAAAACTATTTTACAGTTATGTTGCTTTATAGTTTAACAAAACTCCGTTTTTAAAGTACAAGCATAACTTGATAGTAAAATGAGTCTTTTCAATAACAGTTCAAGTAGAATACTAGTAAACTATAATAGGTATAGTTTAGAGAGTCAGTTCATACTAGATACAATACACGATAACATAAAAGAATACACAATAAAGAGAAACAGGGAGGAAGATACAATACACGATAACAGAACAAACATAATAAGGTGCTATAGCATGGAACAATTACAGGATCTAGCTATACCAATGAATCACTAACACATTGTTCTAAACAAAAGGTGAAAGTTATATTGGGTATATATGATCATATAATCTTAATGTGGATGTTCACGGCTTGCAATTATTACAGAGGTCGCGTTTGGTTCCTAGAATCTTTTGACAGGGAGAGCATTTAGTATGGGATCTAGCCATCACATTATACCTTAATACTCAATTTAATGCAATTAGTACAATAGTAGTCACTTTATACAATACTACAGTATTTACAATTTACAAACGACAAACAGAACAGTCGAGTCTAGTACATTCATTAGTAAAGGACCATAATACTAACCTTATGATTCCCTAATGTATACATTAAGGGATGTATATAAATAGTATCCGACAGGTAAGAGGATGTGTGCCTTCCGCTTCATTTTCCGGTTCCTTGTTTGGTTGTGGGCTTAGAGCACATTCACCCAACCTATTATCTATTTGATTTTAGTTATATAAATGTTCTGTACACATTAGGTCATCATAAGGGGTACCAGGTATGGGTCAAGTCATAGGATACTAATTCAATGCACATTTTTTCTAGTACAAAACATACTTTTCAAACAGAACTTTGGATATACAAAACTAGAAACTTACCAGTAAAGGGTCTAATCCATTTTATTAAACCAGTGTAGACTTAAAGGACTTTAGGTGATTGACTCTATAATACCTTGGTTTATACATCATGGTTATATATCATTAATACCCAATAGTTCGTTGGATGTGTGCTTTCCGCCTTATTTCCTATTCCTTGTTTGGTTGTGGGGTTAGGGCAGATTCACCCAATTAATTATCTATTCAATATTGGATTATATATAGCCAGTATAAACTAAGTAATTATAGAAGTAATCACTGTGGTCACTATTTTACTATAAGAAATAAGGGTTTTCTTAAAGAATATTTTCATAAAATATAAAGGAACTATTACAATTAACTCCATGAGTAACAAGCGAATACACCAGAGTTATATACAACAAAGACCTAACAAACAATGGGATGTGTGCTATCCGCTTTACTTCCTGTTCCTTGTTTGGTTGTGGAATTAGGGCAGAAGCGCACAGTCAATTGTTTGTTTACTCCGAGTTTTATATAACTTGTATTCATTTAGTACTCATAAAAAGGATTGTAGAATCATTTTTACATATCTTTCATCTAAGTAGGAAATATAATATTTTCTGGAGGAACAGGTGAACTTTTCTAAACATAACTTACACTTTACATAACTTATAACTTACTACATTTTACAACAACTTTCTACAACTTGCTTACATCACTAAAATATTATGAACTCACCAGCTTAATTGCTGATAAACTCTTTCAAATAACTTGTATTCTCAGGAAACTAGTAGACAGGTACTCGCGTTGGGAATTTGGAAGATGGAGCAGTATAGCTCCAAGTCTTGTTTTGTTATTTGCTTATGTATTCTATGTTTTGTGAACACACACATTGTAAACACTTTCTTTCTAATGAAATTGTTGTTCATTACTTTGCTTACTATGATGCATGTCTTGTGATACTAAACATGACGTCCTCCACCCTCGAACGTTTCAGCCGTTCCGGTTTTGGGGTGTGACAACTAATGAGTTCAATAGTGTAATGTATTCTTGTTTATATATTGTTTAATGTATGCAAAGATTGTGATGTTCAATTAACATCGCTACCCCGACGATTTCGTCGTCGGTCGGGGTGTAAAAGATTGGTATCAGAGCCTTAGCCATAGCGAACTAGTATTTCCTGTAGGAACTACGACTATAGCTTGGGGAGAGAACTCTGTTTAGGTTTAATCATTTAGCCCCACCAATAATAACGTATTGTTGATATTAAAATATACTTAAAACCCAAGATATATAGAGTTATTTATGAACTCAGTTTATAGATAAGAATGATTATATAGCATGATACTAACCACAAAACCTGAGACTTTAATCAAAAGCTCAATTAAGTTGTGTAGTAGATAGGGTGTGCCACAATTAAACCTAGTTGAATGCCTAAGTTTTATTATGGACCGACCATATGCACTGCATAACTTAAGTGAAGTGGTTGATAGTCCAGACACCTGGGAATGTTAAGGAGCTAAATTACAGTTTATAATACATGAACTCCAGAATTTTTACAATATATATACGTGTGTGAATTAGTTGCTTGTAAGGAAATATTTTTGAAATTTATGAACTATTATAAACAAAATAGTCGTTTAATATTTGTAACCTGAATGACTAACAAAGCGCCAAAAACTTATAATCTTTTTCTACCAATAATAGGACATACATCATGCCTCCAAGAAGAAAAAACAAGAGATTAAACCCAGATCCAACACCGGAACCAACATCACCACCTGAAGCAAGTCTACCGAAAACCATGACAAAACTAGAGCAACTAATTTCTGAACGTCTTACCACCACGTTGACACAAGAACAAATCATCTACAATGAAATTCCTAAAGGATGAAACGGTGGGTCTGGAGGTAGACCAGGCGACAACTCTAACATAAATTTTGGAAAATCTCAAATACATTGTTCATACAAGGACTTCATGAACTGCAAGCCGAAGAACTTCTATGGAAATGAAGGAGTAGTGGTTCTGACCCATTGGATTGAAAATATGGAGGGTGTCTTTGAAATCGGCTACTGCTCTAAGGGCAGCAAGGCTTGATTCGTTGAACGCACCCTATTGGATTCAGCTCTATTTAGTGGAACGACCATGTGAAAACATTAGGTGTGGTTTCTGCCAACTCAATGTCATGGGAAGAGATGAAAGCACTACTAATAGAAGAATAATGTCAACGGGACGAGGTGCAAAACTTAGAGCACGAGATGTGGAATTTAAAGATGAGATGGTCAAATATCAATGCATGTACAACCACGTTTAACGACCTTGTGCTACTATGCCCAGGAATGGTGAAGTCGGAACACAAAAAGGTGAAGCGCTACCTTTGGGGTTTGGCACCGCAAATAAAAGGATTGGTCCTTGCATCAAAACCTACCACCTACAATAGTGCTAAACACCTAGCACTCCAATTAACAAAGAATCAGGTTGATTAGGGAATAATTTCTGCCACGGTTGAAGCCGTAAAGTTAACTGATCACAAGCAAATTTGAGTGGAAGGAACCTACAACCACGAAAGAAGGAAAAAGTTGGGAAGATATATGCAAAAACAACACCAACTCCACGCAGAAGAAGATTTATGGTGGGAAACATCCATGGTGTAACATTTACAGTTGAAAACTATTACATTTGAAAACTATTTACATTTGAAAACTAAATACTGTTGAAACTACTTCGATTCAAATTCTTAAAAGTTGTGAACTCACCAGCATTATGTTAACTCTCTTCCAGCAAACATGTATTATCCGGGAAAGAAGAGCAGGAAGCTTACGCTTATGGATTAAGTTTTTGAGTCACATTTTTTATAGATTAGTAATGAAGTTTTATAGATTAGCCTCCTGTTAGAGCCTAGAGGCATAAGCTTATGTAATATTAGTAGTTGTAACTCTATACAAGTATCAATGTAATCCCTTTTCAGTAAGAAGATTTCTCACTTTTATGTTATTTGTTGTGGTTGTTATTTGTATTCAATGATTGTGATCCATGACAACGTCTCACCGTCTGAAGATTTCGTCGTCGGTCAGAGGTGTGACAAAACTCAATATACATCTGCTATTTGTTATCCTTCAAATGCGATTTACTCACCAAATTTCCTATATTTTCGTTTTTTTTTCCAAATAAATCATAAATAAACATATTATAGATGTAGAAAACTTAATAAAACATGATCAAAACACTAAATAAGTAGAGATCTTATAAAGTTTTTAGGTTGATACATATATTCAACCATTAGAGAAGTTGAGAGAATTTTCTGCACGCTGAAAACTAAAAATAAAAGTATTCTTAAAAAATTAGAGTATTTACACTGAAAACTAAAAATAAAAGTATTCTTAAAAAATTAGAGTATTTACACTTGCAGGCCATGGATCATTACTAGGCTAATTCGTAGTTCAACATACCTAAATATCAGGTGGAAAGTAGGATTTTTCATGTGTGACTAATCATTTGTGAAATGGGCTACTATTTATCAAAAATTGCTAATTTTTTGTTATTTCTTTATAAAGTAATTAACGGTTTTTACTAAATTTATAAATTTCTCTAAATTGAAAATGATAAAATAGTCTTTTTCATTATAACAAAGACCAAATTCGAAATTTGTAAAAAAAAAAATTACAAATTACAGACATTTTTGCAATTTTTTCAACAGTACAAATGACAGTGAAAGACACACTTGGTAGACATGACGACTGGAGATGCTTCGAGGCCCTATTGACAATATCTCCCGCTTTACTCATTTATCAATATATGGGTTTCCTCCTCTCAAGCACCACCTCCACTTCCACCTCCATTATTCATCACAAGGTGCACTCTTTATCCTTTACAATTAGAACGCAAGTTTTATTCCGTTCTGTTCTTCATAATCGTAATTTACCAGGATTTCTACTCAATTCACTACCCAAT